ATCTAAAGTAGGGCTTTTCAAAAGTTCAAAAGCAAATTCTTATAGAACTCGACGAGCTGAGTTCGCTTTTTCAGATTTTGAAAATCTCAATTTTGAACCGAGTTATAACGAAAAAACGAAAAAAACGCGAAATCGCGTTTTTCGCGTGTTTTTGACGTTTTTTACGGCGAGTACCGTATATGTGTTGTGCTTTACGAGAGACTAGTCACCTTTAAGATTTATGTTTCTGTTTTCGGCTCGGATAAGTGAATTATTGGCTTCTCCGATGTCAGACATCAAATTTACTACTCGAATGGTTTATTAGGCCTTCTCCGATAAGTGGTTAATGCATTTTTCAAGCAATGTTTAAAGGCAAAAGTCGGGCTCAATAAGGGGGTATTATGGCGATTGAAACTGAGTATAGAGATGCGAAGTGGAACGACAGTGGAGAAAAAACTGAGAAAAACCGTCGACAAGGCCGTTAACAAAACCCTCTTTCCCACTAGCAGTGAAGGAGGCTGGCTTGGGGAAGAGGCACGTACAAACAAGTTTTCTGGAGATGTCAGTCGTTCAGGGTCAGTCCTATCGTTGTTACTTTTTCAAAAATTTTTACGACCCCCCTCCCCCAAGGTGGATTTGATACGACCCCCTTTTCGACCCTCGACCACCATATTCCTCTCTATAGTATTTAATTCTGATACCACTCAACCCACCAAACTCCGCCCACTTTTTCCTCCAAAAATGCCGTCGAGCGGGTAAGGGGTATACCCACTTTGATTACCCCACATCAACCTAGTTGTTTCACACGTTATGCCAGCCACGCACCACTTCCGGAGGTGGGCGGTCCCGGATTGAAACCGACGGCCCCGGGGGCTTAACGACGTTTTTCAAGGTGGGAAGTTGCTGCAATGTGTGCAGCTACCCACATACAACCTCCAGGCACGGGAATTACTTCTCTAGCGTGTCTGAGCCCGACCTTTGCCTTTAAATTGTACAAGACTTCAAGGTGTGGAACTTTACCACACGTTTACCTGGCGTTACTTCTGAAGCTTTTATGAAGTATGCGCCCTTCATAGCAGTACTGGAATGCATCGCATAACATTTACGTTTATTTCTCTATTTTTACGTCCCCATTCATTTAATTCTCTATTTTTACGTCCCTTTTGAATATAAAAACAGACAAGAGATTCAGTCACACGGTTTGTATGTAGTCTAAGTCGTCGAGGTAAGTGGTTACCAAAAACGGACCACTCATTCGTTCCATGAATATTTAATGGCACCATTTTGGTAGCACGCGGAAGCCTCTGAAGAAAATCGACATTGCACCTGCATATTGGTCATCGTAGGTGGTCTTATGGTTAGTCCAAGGCTTTAGCTAGAATGATGCTTATGTCACCTAGTCGTGCCATCATGTTCAAAGTAATTTGCGCTGATTTCGCATGTTTATAGTGTAAAACTAAGCAAGCAGGCGGTGATCTAATATAATATTAGGTCGTGAAGAAAGTTCTTGCGCTTTTCGACCTTGATTTTCAAATGCCTGTATCTCGGCTCATTCGAAACCTTTTTGATTGGAGTAAAGACTGTTAGAATCCACAAACCTCTGCCAATAATAGCTGCGTTGAATCAGCCCGGTAGTGCAGAATACTGGAGCTCTAGAGACGATGAACCCGGCGGAGGTCGTTTCCGCATCATGTTGGTTTTTGAAGCATAACTCTTTGGAGAAGCTATCCAGGTAGTCGAGAAAGTGACAAATTATAGGCAAAAGGTCTACCGAGTAATTGCAGGACTAATTCGTAGCCAATCTTGTCCAACTTCTGCAGGGTTGGTTGTGGAATGTGCGTCCGAGCTACCTGTCAGGGACGAGCCGGTTCCTTTATAATGAGGAATTTCGAGCATATGTGCCAGAGTTCTAGGAGTAGTTTGACACATTATCAGGAGTACTTTTTCCACATTAACAGATCCACCTGGTTACGAAAAGCTAGACCAGCCGCTGACCTTATGAAAGTCACCTCAACCTTCCTTCAGTGAAGTTTCACTTTTGCAAAGTTTGTAGAGCCTGATCGCGGTCGATCACTTCACCAAAGGTTCGTATTCTGTAGCAAAGAATCCGTTCTTTGTCGTGCGTCGCAAATGATCAAAAAGTCAGGTCGTTTTCATGGCATGAAACAAGCTAGAACGCGGCGAACGACCCTTCAAAATGGTGAGCTGTCGCGGCACGCCCTATTTGAATTTTTGGGACTTTCCAGCTCTTCCCGTACAACAAGAAAACACAATGCAAGTGCGATTAGTTTAGGAGGAACCCTCTCAATAGATTTGTGCAAACGTGCTTCAACCAGAACGTTCGACTAATCGTTGGCGTTGTCCAATCTCCGATCACCACCCTCACAATCTTTAGGGCTCTCGCTATTCTTACAAAAGCTTTTTGAACAATTGCTTCAGACCATATTTATTGCGAATCTCAGCCAAGTGCGTCTATAATATCTTGACCTGCTTCCTCTCCATACTGGCCTGCTTTGAGCTAGAAAAAGGAAATCATGCAAATTTGCTCTTGGAGTATGCCGTATTCAAGGCTTCAAAAAATGACAACTAAATAATAAGGAACATAGCTAGCCTAGCTGTTAGATAGAACAAGAAAAGCTCTTCAAAACCACATACAGCTCATTGGCAGCTTGCTTGAATTCGTAACAAAATAAAGCGTTCAAAAA